AAAAAAACTATAAAAACAGCTATATATATAAAAAAGTGCCATAATTTTTTTTATTTATCATAATAGATATTAGAAAGTATTAAAAAAAATCATTGTCTTTCATTACCCATTCATTGTTCTCAAATCCAACCTCAAAATTGGTCAAAGGTCAACACATTCACCAACGACTAGATTTCTCCTAAAAATATGCACTGAATCTAGATGAATAAAGAAGAAGAAGAATAACACTTGTGATTTAAATCGCTCATGTTGATCATAATTTTTTTTTTGTATTTTTTACATTATCTATATGTAGTAGACTTTATTTTAGGAATCTATAATCGAAGTGTACTGCCTATTGAAGTCCCAATGCCCTGTAAATAATGTCGGCAACTCAATTTTTGTTTTAAATTTGAAAATAATAGAATCGAGAAAGTTTAATGCAGTCACGCTGCATAGGTCGTCCCACTTAAGTCTCGTTTGCATTTACGCAGTTATTTTTATTTATTTTGACTTCAATCGAGGACCGCCTTCCAGGTTCTGACGATGCCCAATAGGCTGAAACAGCTGTCTACCGGTGGCTCTTAAATTGAAATCAATATGGGAATGATTAGACTAGTACTTATCTATTCATTTTTTGATTTTCATGGAATTATTTTCCAGCAGCTTGACTGCATTAATCTTTCTCTATTTCATATCATTTCTAGAAACATGTGGATTCGTTTTCCGATGACATTCCAGGTTAGCTTTCCAAATTTCTGCAACCGCAGTTGTCGGTTGATTGGTCAAACCACCAACACTGACATACAAACATGGCAAGTTGACTTGGGTGTCACACCAATAGGTGGTTCCACTTATATCTCGCTTGCGTTTACGCAGTTATTTTTATCAAATACTTTTTCTGGTTATTCACATTTTCTCATTAGTCAGGGAAGCTATGGATTGTACTGTAGACGACCCCTCCCGATATAGAAGGCCCCGACACTCTGTCGAATGAGGCCGCTATATCTTCCGTTGAAAGATGAACAACGTTTTCATCAAATTCACCATACCATTAACACTCACATCAGTCATGACCCGTTTGTCCTTCTGGCAAACATCAGTTCAAAGGGTAATGGAACCAGGCTTCAACCTGACTAAATTCAAGATGACTTTACATTCACATTTTACTCAGGCAAAAGGGTAAGGGAGCTGGACTCCATCCTTCAATCTAGGACCGCCTGGCGGTACTGACGATGGCCAATAGACTGAAACATCTGTCTCCCGTTGAAATCAATATGGGAATGATCAGTAAAGATCGCCGGGTCAGCTAAAATAAAAATAAGAAACGGCCCGTTTCGTGGTGCTTTAAGTATTCCCAACGCCATTCTCACATCACCAACAGTGATTGTGTCTATTTTGGAAGCCCAATCGTTTACGTTCAGCGGTAACATGTAACTTTAGTTCGTGTTTGTTTTTAATATGCAGTATTTAACGCGATGGGAAATTTTATAAGTTTTATACGTTTCATATCGATATTCGTGGATTCGTGCCAGCTTTTTGATTTATCGTTGTGAATTCATTCGACATTATTCAAACGTTCAGTAGCAATTTTTCATTAGAACTGTCGGAATTCCCCAGTGCAGAAAACCTAACGAAACAAATACGATAAAATTAATTATCGAAGGTATTTTGAATAACAAAGTCCGTCGTATTTGTTTCGTCATGTTCATAATCACAACACCAAACCAACAAAAACGTTATCGGTTGGTAATTTCCAATCTAATTTGCGGCAAAAATCGATTCATCACGGTGGAAATTGAGGAATCTACAATAGAAAATTCAAAAATCAATTACATGAATTTTCAGGAAAGAAAGGTTTCGGCTTTCTATTCCAAACATTCGTTATGGCATCGAATCAGATTTCAGTCACAGGATTCCTACACAATTTAGTAAATGAAAGAGGTAAAATTTCACTTACGTGGAACACTGTCATCCTCACTGGTAGACTAGCAGACAAAATGTATGTTCATTGCAAGAGAAAACCGTCCAAGCCGCAATTTGGAAGTCTAACTATGCGGGAACTTAATAGAACAAGTAAAAAAATGAAATACTTGGGTTTTATAGTTGACTATGGACTAACGTTTAAATAACATGCAAACTATATATTCAGATGTTCTAAATACCTTGAATCACGGACAAAAACGGTGAAACGGTGATATACAATAGTTATTATACATCCCCATTTCAACTATTGCTCCACTATTTTATACCTACTGAACCGAAACCAAATTAACAGGTTCCAAAAACTACAAAACCGATCTAATGGGTATCATTTTGTCATATAGCAAATGTACTCCCTCTACAGACATCTATAACCGCATTTTTAATAAATCGAGGCTTTATATTTGCACAGCACTCGCGAATGGTATTTTCCAGATGTTGTATGTCA